TACGAGGTCGGTCCCAGGGACCGAGTCCGGGTTGAAAGAGTTAATGGCCTGTAATTGTCAAAAATTCGGAATTTTAATTTTCTTAGATTACTGTGTTTAAAACTTATGATTAAGTGAAGTTAACAACATATATATTCTTCTGTCAACTAGCAGGTTATTCTAACTAATAATATAAAAGTATGAATAAAACTGCCTACTCTTGCATCATCCATAATATACCACAATCCATTAGAGTTTCGTACATAACAAAAGTAATGACCAGAGTTGCAGCTACTTCCCATGTGGACTAGAACAGCATTCAGCCTATAGATTACAGGAACACCCTGAAAATAAGAAAGTTTTCAGTAATACTTTTCTTTCACCATGTAAGATTATGATCATAAGTATTTTGTATAAAAGAATATAGACATATAATTCTGTTAATTAAGACTTCCTGATCAAGATGTACAACATTTAATATTAAACCTAAAGTTATAATGATTCAATATAAAACCCATATTTGTCTAATATAATGAAGAAAGCATAATTTTCTTGATATTACACAAATAAACAATAGCTAAATAAAGCATCTTCACATACAAAATTACAGGAACATGATTCTTAATGAAACGGCTAAGTATACCAAGTACATGTAAAATGAACTAAAGCCAAATTATATATCTCAAAAGCAACACAGAAAATAATATTCTCAATTGTATTCATGCTGATGGGAAAGTGCTGCTTTTCAGATACAAAAACTTGATTTTTCACTTCTTATACATGTCAGCTGCATAGTGTGACACTTTGAAGTAGTACTTATTGTCACCAGTATGTCCAAGTTTTTAATGAACCCTACTAAAAGTGCTTTACTACCTGTGCATTAAGATATTAAAGCACTCATGTTATCACTTCTCCAGACCCCTAAACACATCAAAAATACTTGAACTTTATTGGTCAATAGATTACAATTGTAGAAATAATACAAGAACTAAGCCTTGTTAATCTACCTATACTTTAGGTGAGATATTATATTGTTGGGGTATGTATAAAATTCAACCTAAATAATTTACATTCAGTGTGATTACCTGCCTGACTTATAACTTATTATTTTCTTACAAATACATTAATTACTTCTTACACCACTTTATGCCCTCTACAATGAAGTAAATAGTTTATAATCTGTTCTTTCCACAAAGGTATTTAAACATGGCCTGTAACTATTTTCAAAGCATAGCTTCATTATATGTTCCCAGATAAAATGTTGTGAGATTATAAAAGTATGAGAATCTAGGCTACACCTAATAATCTTTGTGAAAGAGAAGGGAAATCATGTGAGAAACAAACCTCTGATAACTATATTCTCAAGGGATGATATTTTCTTACCAAATATAAATCTATCTTTAGGATGGACAGAAAAATTCTAAAAAAAATCACTAAGTGTTTAGTTTACAGACAAGTTTAAATGTTTTTATTTTATTGTTATTTTGCAAAATACACTAAATAAATGTTACAAACTGTCAAAATATCAATTCTAAAATGGATTTGAGTAAAAACTTGTTGAAACTGAGATAGAATTACTAATCTTATTTACATTTGAGATCTGGTATGCAGGTATGCACTCAACCGAAAGGTTCTCATGGTCTGGAAAGTGTTGACTAAAGCAAATGCAAAGGTAGTCTTTCTTAATTATAAAATAATTGTATAAGACTAGTAAGAAAAAGAATGTTAAGTCACTGTTCTAAGTAGTTTCTTGCTAGTTTTTATACCATTACAATCGTTTTGTTTCTTTCTCAACATTTACCTTCGCATTTGCTTAGAAATACAATCCTCTAAGTTAACAGTTTAAAGAATCATGCCTCATATTCAATACACCATATTATCACTGTTAATTTTTATCTCCAAAGAATCTTCACATTTTGTTTTAAAGCTGTGCTTTAACTTGATCATGCAATCAGTAATAAAAACAAATAAAATTATATAAAAACAAGACAATTGTAAATTTTACAAATACATAATTTATTCACGACCATGCTTTTACCAGTAAAAGCATCATCAGGTACAGACTGAAATGTTTTGTAACAGGGTTTATATATAGGTATGTTTAAACAAAGAACCATAAGTGACCTTGACATTCATCTAGAGACAAGTGAAGAGAAGTTTAAGTTAGTTTATTCATTTATAACTTTTTCTGGGTTTGCTTTTAGACTTCTATTTATTTCTAAAATATCCAGACTATATAGTTTTTACCTTTTTTTACAGATATGTAAAATTTTGCAGTTTTTTCTGGATGAAATTGGTGTTTAGTTTCATTAAGGTAGGATGCAAAAGTTGAATCAATTTTCCTTAATTTCCAGCTTCTAGAATGTTATTTAATTCTTGTTTCTATGGATCATCCTGTTTGACCTATATATACACAATTGCAGCCTTGGCACTATATTTGGTAAACATCACTGCTGCTGTACTTTTTCGATACTTTGTTGTTGCACAACATGTTTCCTAGGTTGTTTTTACAGTAGAAGGCTGGTCTTTGTTATATATTTTGTAAGAACGTTTTCAAATGTAGCTCATCTTAAACCATTTCTTTTTCTTTTTGTTGCCATTTAATACAGTATTAGGTATACTGATTTATATTTATGGCTTTCAATTTTTAAACAAAAATATGTTAATTAACTTTGCTGTATAACCACTGTTTATAGCAATTTGTTTTATAGTTTTTAATTCACTTTCATAATCTAGTCTGTATCTGATGACGCTTCTACTGGCAAAACCATGGTCATTAATAAATGATGAATTTGTGAAACATACAATTGTTTTGTTTTTTTCAATTCTGTAATTATGGAGTTTCACCAAGAACTGACGGTTTCGAGTAACAATTATAAAAAACAAATAGTTTATTTTTGCCTACCATAAAGAACTGTTTCAGAATATATAACAATAAAATTGACAGTAAGGCACAAATGTCTGAAATGTGACATGGTGTACTACATTGAATATTTATGAAAAAAACTATACAACTTCAATGACTACAAATAAACAATATGGGCCATACTACTGTACAAGGATTTGTTGAAAGGCTGTTAGTTCAAAGCACACCACTCCTCCCTCTTTGTTTCCATCTAGTGTATGAGGATGATAGTTTCTCAGTGCCCATTTCAACAGTCTGATTACACAGAAATACAAAGGTGTTGCATTTATGGTGATTTGACAAGTCACTGTATGTCTTTTTATGCAATAGAATGAATACCTGTTTAACTCTCCAACTGCTTGAGGTATATGATAATGAACAGGAGTTATGACTGGAACCTTATCTTGGCCTCGTTTCTGAACGAGCTTGTATTTCTGTGTGGTATAAAGGGTCCAGAATACAGGTCTGATAGTAATCAAGGATTAACTTTGACTTTTATATCCAATATTCACTTTTCTGATATCTAAGTTGACTACCAGCAGCACAATACACATGCTTTATCAAGTGTCACCATACATTGCCATTTTTCCCTGGCTAGTTACCATTCATACAGTATTCAACAGTTAAGTCTTTCTTTTGTGGATATGCTGTGAAAGTAACTTGTGTACACATGACTTGCAATGCTTTTCAAAACAGAAATCCTTTTTGATTATGTTGCATATTGTTGCCTGTCACACGTTAACAGCTTTTGTCACTGACCAGTTACAAAACACAGCACTTGGTTTATCACAGCTAGAGAATGACTGATTGCAAGGTCTCTTTCTGGATGGGCCTGGGGCTTCAACTTGATCCATACTTCGTTTTCCAATGGAACTAAATACAATCAACATTTCCATCCCTGAATACATCTTTATGATCTGAATGTATGAATATTTTCTATTGGAAAGGGCTGTTACATATCCTTCCTAAAAGTGATCAATTTTCAGTGGCATCAAACTATCAAGGAAATGGCAAACAATGTCAACACACAATCCTGATATATATAAGATTTCATCATAGCTTTATATCAGTTGTGGTTGCCCTCTACCTTGCTGATTTGCACAATGTACTCAATCCTTTGTGTGTTTAAAGTGTATTCACTAAAAGAACATAAATAAACTATATATATTGAATTTTAGAAAAGTTGAAATATTTAACACAGTGAAGGTATACGCAGTTCCCATTCTTTGGATAGAATAAAATTCCCCAATTTTTCTCTGATTAAAATATTATTTCTTGACCATTTGATCTTTGCTTGTAACATATCATTACCTATAATATGTGAAACTGCATAAGATTATTTATGTATCGTTTAATAAAGACAACATAGGCTGTATGTTAAGAGTCACAGTTTGCTTACGTATCATCTTGCAAAGTTTTAGTATGATCTGTCACACCATTCTCAAATTATTTATGCTTTATCAAAATATACACAACAAAGAAAATTTGTCCATTTGTATACGAAAATGCATAATCAAACACGTTTTTTAATATTAATTTGAATCATAAAAACGTTATTAAAGCATAAACAACACTATAGCTTTTATCAATTCTGATTATTATATTTTGACTTTGAATACATAGCAGGAATATGTTCACAGTTGTAAAGTAGAATATTCTTTAACAAATACGCATCTCATATTCAAATATTCATTAAAGCAATATTTTCTGATATGCATACATACATAAAAATATTCAGTTGCTAATCATACACTGCAGTAAACTCATATTTTCAATATGTAAAAAAACAGTTGTTCACATTAATGAAATCATCCACTGATCCCGATCACATTGTATTATTTTTGCATGTGCTTTTAAACTGTGCATATCAAGTTCATTTATATCAAACGTATTTGATAAAGTAAATTTTCCTAATATATAACTCAGATATATGATGCATTAACCCTCATATATTGAGTAGAGTCCAAGCTTGGTCATTTTGACCAACCATGTAACTGTACATGCTATAATTTTGAATGTAGTAAGTGTTTCTTCACAAAATTTGATAGCTTTTAGAAAACATTACAAGGCTGTTGTGCAGAAAAAACAGATTTTTCAATTATTTATTTTTTACTAAAGCCAGAAATAATGACATTCAATCTGCACAAGAATGAGTCAAAAATAAGAAGAAGACATACCTCTTCATTAGCCAGAACAAACTTGAATTTAAATAGCCAGAGTGATGGCTCCACTTTGAGTGTTAATATTCCTAAGATGGAGTAGATTTCTGGTGGCTTGTGTATCAAAAAGAAACTTGGCCTCATATCATTGCACCTTTATTGGTACATACCAAGCTCCGAACCCTGTATGAGCTTAACCCTATTGGCCTGGGTACACTTTACTTCGCATGACACCAAGTTTTAGTGTCTTACATTCACAATTTTATTAAACTACTTTTTGTTTATGTTATATCAATTAGAATAGCATAAAATCTTAGCTAATAATCCATGTTTTACATTCTTAATTCTACAAGGCAATATAAAAAAAATTCTGAATTTCTACTAGTGTGACTCACTTGACACATTTTGTCTTAGCATGTCATTCCTATCTTATCCATAACCCCTCGAAAATGTACGAAATTAAACGTAAAATACTCTATATAAAATCGTTATTGCTCAAACAGACCATAATTTTTATAGCCTTCAATTTTGTTTGGTTACAGAGCTATGAAATAGAAAATCAGACCCCTCCTGCCACACCCACTTGTCACATCCTCTCTCCCATATTTTCATTGATAGTTCTCTCTTACGTTTCATTATATCTTACGTATAACCAATAGAAAGTCAAGGTTTCATCTATCAAATGGCATATTGTATAACGTTGTGTTCTCAACAGATAACCATTAATTTCACTCAGAGTAGCAATATTGTTCCCATGGGAAAGTTAACGACTAGCTTGGATAAATTTGTAACAGCTTTTGTCGCATAGACTGAAAGCCTGGAAAATTTTTAGAAGTGAACTTGTCTACTTTTTGCATGTTATTAGTCTATATTCTTTGGTTTATTATTTAATTAAATAAAAATTGATAAGTGCTTTACTATAATCACTAACAAAAATAAGACTTAACTCTCCTCGATAATCGAGGGCAAGAAAAAAAAGAAGATTGGGTAAGTACTTTATTTCTTGTTTTTAATATTTATTCTTCATTTATTATTATAAAAGTAACTAAAATTCAAAGTATGGATCTTTTCAAGTTATTTAAGACTAGATTAGGTAAAATAAGTAATAACAATAATTATATAATTAAAATGGTTCACAAGGCATACACGTGAGCAGCTTGTGGGTAATGTAATTTGATAGTGTAATGTGAGCTGCACGTTCCCTGAGTGATTTACAACTTATAATGGCGGGGATAGCAATTAGACATGGTTCAAAGGGCAATAAAATAATAAAATTGAATTATAAATAGTTGTATAATGTTACAAACTTAGAGCTACTTAGGATAAACGAATATAGTTTCATGTTACAATTTGAAGTTATTCTAGAAAGATAAGAAGGTTAATTTAGGTTTATTTCGATTTTTTTTGGTGGTTAAGAGGTCGGTTGAATTGACCGATCCCATTTTGAGATAGGGTAGACAAAATAACATATAAACTATAAGGATTTAGTGAAAAAAAACGTTTGAAATGCATTTAAGAGGTTTTAGAGATTACACAATGGAAATTTGAGATTTTTTGAGATGACGAAAAGTATTTTTAGTTTCAACATGAAAATTACTTTGCATATGGACTATTCAAAACAAATACTCAATATATTCATGGACAAAACTTTATTTTATTAGAAATACTTCACTAAGAAATATGACTTTTTGTATGTGAAAGACTTGTAATATCAACTGAAAGACTGCCAAATTTTGTGAAGATATACCCAATATATAGAGAGTTATAAGTATTAAATTTATATCAACTTTAAACAAGTACAAAATGTCACGTGACTCAGTCAAATTGACTGACCATGTGTTGGGAAAGTTAAATGGAAATCACAACTTCAGATACAAGCTGATTACTACAACTGTTGTAAAGTTGGGTGGAATTGCACATTTCTCCTATCTTTTCCTGAGCAAGATTCAAACAATTTCTCTTAAAATGCCTTACCATTCCACAGCTGAAGCCTGCACTCCATTCCTATTGCCCAGGGTGTCATCTTAGGGGGATGCCTACTGCTGTTTTGTGACAAGAAAACTTTGGGATCCTAGATAGCACTAACAACTCATTAGCATCCAGTATACAAATGAAAACAAGGGGTAGTACTTTTGACAGGGGAGATCATGGTTGTGTTTCAGTCATTCAAGACAAAGATACCACTGAAGGTTATTCTAACTGAGGTCATTCCATTATAACTATCTATATAGCTTCTTCATCTCCAACAACAGGACTGACAACCACCACAAATGTAGTAACTGCAGAAACAACCTCTGTTAGAGTGTACATGTATCTAACACCCATATGGTGCTGTATGGTCTCACCTGGTAAATTCTCACTGAATTTATCAACATGGTCTGAGATGCCTTGATAGGATATGCTTTCCCATCAGGCACTGCACAATCCATCCATGAATCCATTTATTCCAAACAGTGACTACCACTCTGAAATACTTAAGTAAACCGTTCATGTCTTCCTCTAACATTCTATGGTTTTTATCAATTTCACTTTCTTGCCATTAACCTGGTTGGTGCTTTGATCAGCCAGAATCCACATGAGACACTTTTAGCAATACAGATATTGGTTCCTGACAGTATCCAAAGACTCCAACATTCTAGGAACATATAGTTCCTGACCTGTGTCAATGTATCACTGTAGCAAGTACATGGTTGTTCTGCTTCACTCAACCCTGAGCTCCCAAGTGCCCTTTAGAGGTTTCAGCAGTTAACATCTCTTCTTGGAGGTGCTTCCAGTTGCATCACCAGGGGCCACCAGCTTCTTCTTGTGGTACATGCTGTCTCACCGAGAAGCAAGACAGCTTTATTCAGCTAGCAGATGTCATCCTCCAGTCTACTACTTACCACAAGTGATGACAAACAACAATGGGGCTTAACTACATTGAGTTGTGATTATTTGAGGACTCTAAAAAGACAGTCCCATCTGAAATTCAGTGCAGATCACCACACTGATACTAAGTTGTCACATTCTTTTTTTTTGGATAATTAAATTTGTTGGAAAACCTTATTAGTTGGTTGGAAAGTCCCAAGCTGTGGTTCTTCTTGAATCTTAGGTTAAATCAGAGGCTCTAACAGAAAAAGCAGGAATTCTGGACATAAACAGTTGTACATGTAACTTAAGACCCCTGGCATTGTTTATCATTAAATTACAAAATAAACTATTAAAAGAAGCTAAAAAATCAACTTACCTTTGTGTCTGACATGTAGGGCCGTAGATTTAATTTTTCAGGATAAATTACATGTTTGGTTATTTTACCTCCCAACATTTGATTGTAGTGAAATCTATTCAGAAAACACAAAACAGCTTTTAAAAAGTTTATCATAACCTGACTAGAACCTTGGTTAGCATTAACTTATGAAAAAAGATGCAATTCTGTTTTACATGCACAATTATCAGCATTTATTTCTCATATAAAAAAATCAATATTCCACTTTAAAATAACATCATGAAATGGTAGTTTATTCCATAGTTTGATAGGCAGCATAAAAAATATTATATCTTTACTTAATGTAAATCAGTATTGATTAAATGAAGAAAGAAAATTCGTTTTTTCTTTCATAATGCTATAATTTGGTCATTTATTACATTCTAACATATAAAATATATACACACAAAACAAAAAATCTTATGCAAATGTAACTCAAATACTTAACCGTCTGAACTGAAAAGTTGCTACATTAGGAGCCCTGTGAACTGTGAATCTTTTCTGTGCGGAGACTTTCATTTTACACTTTGGACACCTGTAGGCATTGTCATTTTGTAAAAGTTCTGGCTGTACAAACTTCTCTAGAGCTTTCTCCAAGCTGTGAATGTTCTGCTGGTTAAAAAAAATATAAACAACTTTACAAATGATATCAATTAAATGTTTAAATATATCTAAATCATCTTCTTAAAAAAAACACTTTTACACAAGTGTATTCTTGCAACAAAATTAGTTAACTATTACTTTTTTTATATGTAACTATAATATGAAAGGCCATGCCACTTCTACTTTTTGGAAACAATGATTATGTTCAACATACTAGCACCCCAAGTCCTATTTTCCACAACAATCATGCTTTATCCCTGCTTCTTAACAATGGTCTTACATTGATGTTTCCACGAGATCACGCTTCTTTAGAGAACAACCACATCAAAGTTGACCCTCTCCTCTCATGCAGCTTCCCATAATAGACTAATATTTCAAGTTGGTGACTTTCATATGCATTCTCTGACAAACCAAAGGTACAGAGGTTGATGAATGCTTCACTAGGAACTTATCTGTGATTTCAGAATATTGAGGTGTGGCTGAAAAATTGAGAACTTTTGGCTTGTGAGACTTCATCAACTTCAGATTCTTGTTTATTATGTTGTTAACAGTGTGGTATTCAAATATTTAATTGGACTGAATGCTTGCATGAGAACAGGTTTGTTGAACACAACTATCTGCTACTTATTTTAGATTCCACAATTACCACATATGGCTTCCTCACTGAAATGGGAAATAAAGTAAACTAAAAATGATAAATAGAATGTAAATGAAACTAAAAGAGAAACTGAGATTAAAATATGATAACATGTGGTCAGCATATAAGTTAAAGGACTTGAATGAAAACAGAGCACTTTATTGAAGGTCTAGATCCTTTTAAAGCAGAACATTATCTCTCCCTTAAAGTACCAAAATCTGCTTTCACAATGTACATTCAGTCTTTGGCTGACCAATCTCAACTTAGAAACCAGATGTACCTTTGCTCCATGCAATTGTTGTAGAGCAGTTCCACATATATAATGTTTGACAATATACAACTATCCCACAAAAGAGTAGGCAAGTCCTGCTACATTTACGGTTGAATTGGCAAATGACATGGATAGAACTTAGCATCTTCCAAATTAGAACTATAGTGAAATGTAAAGATTTTATAAACATGAAATAAAGTTTAAAGGAGAATGAGGTAATGCATATGGTATTTGAAAACCATTGATAAATATAAACTAACTTTTTCCATACATATTCATTTTAATGGTATGCAATATTCCCAAACCTAATAAAACAATAGCAACAGTTTGTTTCAAAATTTTGTGCAAAGCTACATGAGGACTATCTTCACATAGCTGTTCTAAATTTTGAAGTGATCAAGAAGGCAGCTAGTCAACAGCACCTACCACCAACTCTTGGGATAACTGCTGTTCAAATAGTGGGATTTTGCTGTCATTCTTATAGTAAACTCAAGCCGAAAAGCATAGAGTAAATTCTTATGGCAACAGGTCACAAACTATGACTCAGATTCATTGTTGAGGCATGTTAACTGCCAGGCCATGCTCTGCTGAGACACAACAGATGCTTGAACATATGGGCAAGGGAAATGTCTGTTTAACTATACAGATTTGCATAGTTATGCATACTTTGGGGAAGTAGGAATACTGGTAGAAAAGTGTAGTAAAAGTTCATATTCTTGAATGTCTGGAATGCTAACTGCAGTATTTTGTGAGATTTCCTTGAATGATCATTTTACAACAGCACCTCCAGTAAAAAAAACAAAAACATTTCTATGGAATTTTGGAAAAATAAAGACAATTGTATATTTCAAAAATAAACAGTTTTATGTATTAATTATAAAAATGTTCTTAATTGCATGATATTTTGCCTTATGGCTTCATCAGTAATTTATCATTATAAATACTGAGAGCATACATTTCTGTATCAAAAAGTTCCGGGCAAAGTCATAAGGCAAAATATCAAGCAATAAAGAAATATTGAAATAAATGAAATAATCAATGGAGTAAAAAGAGATTAATAAAGGGTGAAAATATTAAAAAAGAGTGATGCAATCACAGTCTTGAAGTACTCTAGAAATGTGATAACCTAAGTCAAAAACAAGTAATGCCTCCACAGGCTGATGGGGAAACAAAATACCTCTTAAATGTGTGATCTACCTGAATCATACAAGCTAACATTTTCCTAAACTGACAATGTGTTTCTGATAGATATATTTACCTCCTCTCACAAAAAGCTTGCTTGATTAGTACTGTCCCATATTGGTACAAATGTTTTGATCAACATTAGCCTTGTAACCTCCACTTCTTTCTGCATATCTACATGCAAATGATCATGCAGCAACCCTCTACCAATAGGAGTATAATGCACTTGTTAATCACTTAGAGATTGGTCATGACCAATTCAACCAAAACATCGGGAGTGGGGAGGAATGGTGGGAAATGTAAGTGGAGGTATCTATTAGGCATACATTTTCAGTTTAGGAAAATGTTAACTTCTGATATGATATCTTAACTCCTCTCACAAAAAGTTAAAATCCCATATTAAATTGGTGGAAGGCTGGTAAGAATATGAACCTCCTTTAGAAAGTGCATAAAGAAAGACCATGATGTGTGATAAGGAATTAAAAACAACATACCAGTGGGAAACAGCACCACTTCTGAGCCAGGTATACTCTTTGCCCTACAGGAATGTGTTGCCAAAACATAAAGGGCAGACACATGGAGGGGGCCTAAAAACATTTTAAGCACGAAAAAGACCACCAGGTGTTGAGTTGCTAGGGAGCAGCAGACCATAAATGGAATTGTACATCAGGTCCATGGTAGGAAGAGGGAAAGTGGAAGAGTCTATCTCCACTGGCCCTGACCCAAGTACTGAATCACTGACACAGAAAGCCCCAAAAACAAAGATAGACAGCAAAACAATTGCACAATGTAGGTGGATGAGAAGTCGGGACTGGCAAAGGGTTAGAAGCTAGGGGACAAGCCACTGAAACAGGAACAGGTGAGTGGGACAAATGAGAAGCTAGTGAGGAAAGGGAGTTATGTAGATTGGCTGATTCAACTCTGGTCTCCAAAATGTTGGGAAGACCCCCAAACACCTCTTCAGGAAAAATTGGTGCCATGTGCAAATCACACAAAGAAGAAGTGGGTAAACTAACCCTGGGTAAAAGAACATCCCTACCCAAAAGATCCCAACAGGATATCAGCCAAATCTGGAAAGCCAGGGATGACGAGGAGAGGTGTGCCATGATAGCAACTAGGAGGCTACGAAAATCATCAGAATATTGAGGTTGGGAAAAAAATTAAGCATTAGGGTCCAAATTCCATAAAGGAATAAGAGATTCCAAACATTGCGAGTCTAAATATGGGTAGGCGGCATGATGAAAAGCAAAATCAGGATTGTCCAATGTATGAGAGGGACAAGGCACACTGAACCATATAGCAACTGTTTCCTAAAATGATTAGCCTGAACCCCAATATCCAGTGGAGGAGGAAAACCAGATATTGAACCAAACATTCGTCCCCAAGGAGTGCAGAGAGAGAGAGAATGTTGTTTTTGTTTGTTATTGAGCACAAAGCTACACAAAGTGCTATCTGTGCTCTACCAACCATGGGTAGTGAAACCAAGTTGCTAGTGGTATAAGTCCGCAAACATACTGTTGTGCCACTGGGGGGATATGGGTAGAATCATAGGAAACAAAGAAAAAATCAAACAAACCTGATTAATCAGGTCAAGCAAGGGAGAAGGAGGTCTGGCATAATGGCTTCTCAATGGTGACAAGATATCTTTATACTCTAATGGTCAGTGTGCATCCACCTCAAAACTAACAGCCAATTTCTAATAGGGTAATTTCCTGCCCTGTTAGGGCAGACAGGTCTAGGAACAGGAGTTCTCAACAGTAAGTAGTTAATGTTTTGCCAACAAACAACAGTACATGAAAAAAAAGCAGTTCCCAAATAGGTTCCCACAAGAAACCTCAATTGACCAGCAGGAGAAGGATAAAAATGGAAAAATCTAGGCCTAAGCATCAAGTCAGCAAAAAATGTATACATTAAAAGTGCACCAGACTCTGGCAGTCTCACATTATGATAAGTTACTGCAATGTCAAGTGGATCAGGGGAAGTAAATACTGAACTGAGAAGCCTACTGAATTTTATGACACCATACACTTTTAAAATACTAAATTCTCAGACCCAGAAGAATTTACTCTCACTGGCTTGAACTTCATACCACATGCTAACCCAAAGGCTGGCCACCACAGTTTGTCACAAAAGCAACATCTACTTTGAACATTATATTAGTTCTCAGTTGAAAAATGACCATTGCAAGTTACAAACCATCCAGATAACTTACCCAAAATTACTAAAATACATTAGAATTACCAATGTGTACATGAAAAGTAACATAGCACATCATATTGAGCAATGGAGGTTCCTGTTTGGCCTATCTGATAACACTCCTATGTATCAAGCAGTAGGAAGATTTAATAACAGACACCATATCTGGAATGTAGGTGAAAACACTAATGTCAAAGGTTTATATTTTGCTCTTCACAATGTGGCCACAAACCTTGGACTGCTACATTTGGGTGAACCATAAAAATTACCAAGTGCCAAGGTGAACGATACTCATGTATATACCTTGCTTTTGCTAAATATCCTTGAGTGTCATCTCTACCACGTATAAGAGACATTATTTCAGCAGTGATAAACTTATGAGTGAGATGTGTGTGCAATAACTGGAAGACATAGTAATATAAAACAGTATATAAACCTATTCAAGTATTTCAAGCTATCTAGCTGCTCTTTGACTCTTTCCATCATTAAACAAAGTCAAAGCAACACGCTCTGCAACAGAAAACTCCATACTAGTGGAACAATGATGTTGATAAGGCTTGCAACCAAGTGTAAGCTGAGTTCAGGTTAATAAGAATGATATATCCCAAGCAGAAGAGGCAAGGTTTGTGTAAGGAACAGATATGCTCTCTACAGGCAATCAGATTTCAAAATACAAGACATGATATGGAATGAATTGTGCAGCAAAGCCAACTTACTGTCCCAAATATGAAGTTTTGTAAGTTAAAAGTACTACTTCTGTACTTTGAAAGCTACAATCATGTCTCTTTGTAACTCAGGTGTCTTTCCAGAGTAAAAAAAAGAAGGAGGTAGTTATACCAATGATGATCAAATTATCATTCTTTAGATCATTATCATAAACAAAACCTGCAAGAAATAGAGAAATCAAGGTGAAATCAACATAATTAAAGTATAGTTGAAATTTAATGGACTAGGATTACCTCAACAGAGGATATATAACAAGTGAGTAACCACTGAATTAAACAGCACACTAAATCAAGGCAAAATAAAAATAATTGAAGTTAGCATTACAATATTTCTTTTTTTAATTATTTAGCATTCTGGTTAGTTTTACAAATTTTAAGTTGATAAGTAATAAATTCTTGCAAAATTAACAAATAACAAACAGAGGAGAATAGTGCAATGTCTATTAAACAAAGTTCCTACAGGAGTTATCACCTACCTTAATATCTACAATAATGTCCATGAAGTGGTCATATGTGTTACTTCTCTCTCGGCAATGGAGACATAATACTATATAAAAAAAAAAAGAAGATATAGTAAGTCTACATGAAAAATAAATACACACAGATACCAAAGCACTACAAGTAATTTGAAAGTTATTTAACATGTTTTCACTTTTCATGTTATAAAATGTTTTTAATACAGATGAGAGAGATTGTGTTCTTTGTTTTCAAGGCATTAATTCTATTTAGATTTCCTAAACATTAATTGGCACCTACTGTCCTAAGAGACAGTCACGTGGATTGTTTCATAAATTTGAGAAACCATTGGTTAAGTTACATAAATCCAGACTCCATCTTTCTTTCTTAGAGAGTGAGAAATGTTTGATTTAATTATAAAGTTTCTTCATTTCAAGACTGCTAATGTCACTCTTTAAGAAAGACAAACAATATTGGCACACTCAACAAAAATGTTTGGACTCTGAAATTAGATCTATAGTACAAGTCAAAAAATCTTTACTTAAACATTTCCTGGATGTGAAACACAAAACAGAAAGTGTTGTTTGTATTGTGGATTTCATCCATTTGAATTGTTTCATTGGATGCTTTCACTATAACGAACTTATAAAATACTGTTTCAGTCATCTGAAAACATTGCATTCCTCAAAAATGTTTCAAAAGGCAAAAATTTTATAGATTCTTGAGATAAAGTTTCATGTATGGGTTTGAGATATTCTCTCGTACCAGGCAAACTTTGGTACTGCGATAAACCAGCTCCATTTGAACTCTTGTTAAAAAAAAACTTGTAATGTTTACTAACTTTATAATGAAGCCTTCAATAATGTTAGAACAATTATCTGCAACATTGCCCTCTCAGAGTTACACTCTTATAATTTGGGCATTAACATTTTAATATCAGCAAAGAAGAACAAAATAGCCTTAGAAATGCTTAAATCCAACAGAAATATTGTTATTACTAAACCAGACAAAGGAAATGGCATGGTTATTTTGATTAAAGAAGACTACATTGACAAAGTAACATAGGTTATTAGTAGCACTACCAAGTTTTCTAAACTATCAAAAGACTACTCCTGCAAAGAGTAAACAAATACTTTAAATTCTTGCAAAATTTGAAGGAAACTAATTCCTTGGATGATAAAATTTAGAACAACATTGGACCAGTCTCTTCCCACATAGGCAAACTTTATGGGTTACCTAAGATGTATAAATTTGATTGTATTAATAAACTTATTGTGTCTAATATACTGTTATATTTACCAACTGTCCAAATTCTTATGTTCGTTTATAACTTAATTTGCTTTGGTTTTTCTGAAAATCTTAGAAACTTCAGGTTTGATGAAGATGTTTATTTAGCCAGTCTTGATATTGAATCCCTCTTCACTAATCTTCCCCTAGTGAAGATTATTAACTTTTGTGTTAATCTTGTTTTCAAAAACAAGGAACATGTTAATGGACTTAGTAGACAGGCTTCCAGACAAGTGATGGAATTTGCCATGAAAAACTGTTTTTCAGTTAAGTGATGAATATCATGAATAGACTGATGGCATTGGGTATAGTTGAGCACCTGTAATATGTTTTTATAAGAATAATTGGCTGATGGATTATCCTACTGAGTTTAAACCACTTATTTATAATTGTTATGTTGACTATATATCTGTAGTAGACAAAAATTCAATTAGTGAAACTTGTAAAATATAAGAATTACATTAAGTTTACCTGTGAATGCTAATCCTGCTTTCAACTTTCATGACAATATGTGTTCAATAAACAAGGACATTTTGATGTTGGTTGTTGTAAGAAACCAACCTACACCAGACTTCACACACACACTTTGACAGTTTTGTTCCACTTCATTTCAAAGAAAACCTTGTAAAATGTCTTAGGTACCATGTATACCAAATCACCATTTTAAAACTTAACTCCTTCTCATACAACTTTATTGATTCTACCACAAATAAAGCTGTTCAACAAATACATCTATCCAGGACATTAACTTCCCAAACCTACAAGTAATGATCTCCCTACCATATACAGGCTCACACTCACAATTCTTGAAGAAGAAATTAAAGGCCATAACCAGTTCACTTTCAATTTGTGTTTAGACTTCTATTGAGAATTCAAAATTTTTTTCAAAGTGTAAAGATCAAATCCAGTTCATTCCATAGTCATGTGTCACTTATGAATTCTGCAGTCAATGTGTGGAGGTGCTTACATCAGCTCAACAGCCAGAAAACTGGGCGATTCTTTAAAAGAACATTCTAATCCTGGGTTCAAGGACAGCTCAAGAACTGTTCATCATACACTAAGTGAATGTGATATGGTTCCATCCACCATATTGTTCAAAGTAACTGGTAAATTTGAAAATAAGACTATGCTACAGGTAAAGGAGAATCTTCTGATTCTTCAGAAGAAGCCAAGATTAAACAATCAGTAAAGTGCTACTGAACATGTACTCAAAATATAAGTTATAAAATTTTACTTAAACATAAAACAGCTTACATAAAAATTATTATTTGTTTGTTTGTTTTTGAATTTTGCACAAAGCTACATGAGGGCTATCTGTGCTAGCTGTCCCTAATTTAGCAGTGTAAGTCTAGGGGGAAGGCAGCTAGTCATCACCACCCACCGCCAACTCTTGGGCTACTCTTTTACCAACAAATAGTGGAATTGACCGTCACATTATAATGCCCCCATGGCTGAAAGAGTGAGCATGTTTGGTGTGATGGGGATTTGAACCCGCGACCCTCAGATTGCGAGTTGAGCGCCCTATCCACCTGGCCATCCCGGATCGAATTATTTGTTTAAGCATGGTATAACAATAAATCTTCCATCGATTATAAGCAATTAACACACGTTTAAATCCATCCATATTCATGATAAAAATTAAATATGTTTATGGTTTTATTTTTTCTCGGTGTATTTTTAGAAGTCTGAACCATTATCAAAGTAAAACTTCTACCATTATCAAAGAATTATTTTTTATCGATTCTCCACTCTGAACAAAGTCTAACGGTAGTTAAATGACACACAAGCCTAAGGTTTAAAATCTTGCTTCTTCTTTTTATTTTTTTGGTTTTGAGAAACCTTTCATTAAATATTACATAAAATAGAGTCCCAACTGCACTGAACTTTACTATTTCCATAAAATTATCACAGCTGACTTGCAAGAAGTCTTCAGAATACCCATTTTGGAGTCAAGTAAGTAGCAGTGAAGATAATTTCAGCATTGATTATGCTACTAGCAAATGGAATTTTACTTAACCTTATAATTTGTTTGACATGCACGGCAGGCCCACCTGAAATGTTCTTAAAAGTCATAATTAGTTGAGGCTGAATATATTAAGAATAACAAGTGGTGTGATTTATTCAAATATTGTTTCTAAAAGCTGTATGTTTAGGGAGTATGATGTTTTTTTACATTCAGTTGCAAACTTTCTAAATTAGTGGAAAGTCTTTAACATATCCATTTTTGGAAAACAATGCTGTGGTTCTTGTTCACTTAAAACTATATAGTCCTATATATTCTGTGATATACTAAACATCTAAATAGTTAGGGCTTTTTGAAATACTAAGGAAGTTGGATGTTATATATATATATATATCCATACCAATTTCTTTTATTTTTCTTCAATAACTTGGAAAAAAGATTGTTGATATAAAATAAGATATATAATTTTGTACATGAAGCTATATACAAAATAATATTGGCTATTCTTAAATACAGCTATAAAATTGCCTTTTCCATACAAGACATAACTTTGTGGTTTCAATGCTGCAAAAAGATCTTCCTCTTTCATCCTCTTTTGCAGATTAGCAAGTATATACATCCTTATGAAAATGTCCTAAATGTTACTATCATCACTCTGGATGATTCACTAAAATCATTCAATAGAACAACTGTAGTCAACCTGTACATTACAATCTAGGGGCATTTCAGGTTTTAGAATTATATACCTTTAAGACTTTCTAGAGAAGGACCAATAGACATCTTCCAGAAAGCTTATAACCCTGTCACAGAGGGACTAACAAACTTCTTGTAGGCAGCTTGTAACCCTGTCACAGAGGGACTAACAAACTTCTTGTAGGCAGCTTATAACCGTGTCACAGAGGGACAAATAAACTTCTTGTAGGAAGCCTATAAAATTGTCACAGGGGGGCTAACAAACTTCTTGTAGGAAGCCTATAAACTTGTCACAGAGGGGCTAACAAACTTCTTGTAGGCAGCTTATAACCCTGTCACAGAGGGACTAACAAACTTCTTGTAGGCAGCTTATAAACTTGTCACAGAGGGACTAACAAACTTCTTGTAGGCAGCTTATAACCCTGTCACAGAGGGAGTAACAAACTTCTTGTAGGCAGCTTATAACCGTGTCACAGAGGGACTAATAAACTTCTTGTAGGAAGCCTATAAAATTGTCACAGAGAGACAAATACACTTTTTTGTAGGCAGCTTATAACCGTGTCACAGAGGGACTAATAAACTTCTTGTAGGAAGCCTATAAAATTGTCACAGAGAGACAAATACACTTTTTGTAGGCAACCTACAAGATTGTCACAGACATACTATAAACTGCCTATTGGAACAAGAATTTAATGTCAAAAAGGTAGAGAATGGCTATAGAAATATCATGTATGTGCTTTAATGTTCCTAGGGAAATGGTACAGAAACACTGTAAAATAATTACATGTGCAGGTGTACGAAGTATAAGTACATTTAGAATAACTGTACAGTAAACTATACATAGACAATACCCTAATGAATGGTGATATAAAGGTTACAGGTTTCCTTTAGAATAGCCATAAAGCAACAATATAAGAGCTCTAGCCTGCTTCCTTTATAGAATGTGATATCCTACCTAAAGATTGGTAGAATGAATAAGACAGAATGCATGTACAGTGTAAGTACAGATATCATGTACACAGTTTAAGGACTTGAAAGCTTGTATAAACTTCCTCTGTAAAATGTACCTAAATCTTAGATAAGCTTTAGCTAACTTGTCCAGGTCTACAAAACTTCTATAAAATATTTACATGTAACCTTTACACAGACTATTTATAGCTCATACAATTTGCATATTACCTTATGTAGCTTATTACCAAATAAAACAGGCTGATCAACATTTTGGATTACATGAGTGATACAAAGAAGTTCTGTAATACAAGTGTTTCAAACAATTTAAATGCATAATGAATCTATGTCTTTTACTAAGCCTGTGTAGGTCTCTAGAGTCGTTGTAAAATAAGTATATATAATTTATTTGTAGATTATCCTTACTCTGTACAAACTGCATATGTTGTTTTGTGCAAGGGAATTTCGGGCAGCTAACAGGCCATTTTCAACTCCAGGATAAAGGAAGAATAATAAATTTCTACTTCATGTGGTACTATCCAAAAACTAATAATAATATGCAGCAAGAATAACCCATTCTACTTCTTTTGATACTATAGAAATAAAAAAATGGATGTAAGAAGAATAATGCATTCTACTTCATGTGGTACAAACAAATAACAATAGATATAGGAACAATGATGTATTCTACTTCATGAGGTAATATGCAAAAAATAATTGATGTAGGAAGAATAATACATTTCCACTTTATGTGACAATATGCAAAAAAAAATTAGTTAAGGAATGTAGGAAGAATAATACATTTCCACTTTATGTGACAATATGCAAAAAATAATTAGTTAAGGGATATAGGAAGAATAATACATTTCTACTTTATGCAGTAGAATGCAAAAAATAAAATAATTAATGAATTTAAGAAGAATAACACTTCTACTTCATGTTTTATATATTACTATGCAAAAAAAGAACAATAATTAAAGGATGTTTGTTTGTTGAATTTTGCACAAATTTACTTGAGGACTAAGTGTTGGCTAAAGAACAGTTCAAAATTATGGAAAAGTATGCAGTAATGAAAGAGCATTGAGGATTAATAATAAAAGTCCTGAAATGACTAGTTGTGCAACAAAGCTATGGCCTGAATTGTACATTGATAGGCAAGTTATACACGTAGCAGAGATGATTGAGATTTGAATAGTATGAACAGAGAGTGACTACAGATGGAAATTTAAACAGCATGTCTTTTTCCTGATGTTAGTCATACTGTATTAGGATACATCCTGTCTTTATTTCTAACTTGATTTCTATTTATTCCAGTTCGTCCTTATAATTATTGATAAAAATATACCCTTCCATCTGTATTAAGTCATAGCTTTCTTGTTATTTCAATTGATCTTTTTCCATAGCTTTTCTACTGTCTGTGTGTGTGTGTATTCCTATCAGTTTAAACATATTTAGTTGAATATCCTATTATTGTGAAGTTTGAAACATTTCTTGTTTTTTCAACTACTTAGTTACTAAAAGTATATAAAATGTAATGCAGAAACAAGACATCCTTTGAACAGTGGAGGAGTAAGGTTCTGTCATCTGCCTACTGTGATATTTTAGATTATACAGTTGTAATTTTTAATCCTTGTTTATCTGCATAATATGTAATCAAATACCAAAAATATTTTTTAAGGAAAGATATGTCAACAATGAACCTACCGTCTTTGGAACAGTTTTATTTTGGCAAACTTCATTTATAATAATTAATTAAGTAATAGCAGCTTTAGCCACATTATACCACTCAAAGTAAATTTCTTAAATGAATATCCAAACCACTTTATAAACAACCAATTACACAATTGGGCTAATTCTATCAATTCAACAAATATATATATATATATATATATATATATATAATAGTAAGTATTACTACAACTAAAACTAAACTAAAAAATTAAGTAGTATAGTTATAAATAAACACAGACCAATACAACAACAATACTTA